AAATGGAAATCCAAAGTCTCTGTAATTAAAATTAATAAAATTTAATACAAATTTAAAAAAATACTTTTTAACATCGCTGCCAAAAGCACACACTCCACATTGCCCAAAATGTCAGCTCCATGAAAGAAAGACCCTTGTACTATTATTAGCTTCCACTGAGTTCCCAGTACCCAACCCAGAACAGAGTAGCTACTCCATAGTTTGTTGCTGAAAGTCAATCAAGAGGGTTTTTGGTTTTTTTGTTGTTTTGTTTTGTTTTTTTTTTTATTTTGTAACATCAAATCAGTGTCTTACTGGCACAGGAGGAGATTGCCCCTCCTTCTCTAGTGGAGAATATGGTAGATTTGAACCAGGCACCTTCAGGATTGCAGCACAGCTGCTTGCCACTAGGCCACCAGAGCTCCCTTCAAGGGGTTAAATAAAGTTCTAAGAACCAATCAACCCAACTGTTCAGCCACTGAAGAGCGGTTGAGTGTGTTTAAGTGTGTTAAAGTGACAAACTCTGAAACAAGTCATTCACTATAATATCATGCTACAGTCAAAAATACTATTTACAAATGTAAAACAAATACAAAATCATAAAAAGACCAGACTTACTGATCTGATAAAGACTGGTAGTTAACTCATTGGAGCTGCCCCCTCCAACTGGTTTTCAGAGGCTATAAATTGCACTGGAGGAGAATGCCTATCTATCTCCTGAGGAATAGCTGGTGGATAGGAACTAAATTTTAGTTAGCAAAAGACCTCAAAAGTGTAGCCCTTAGACATCTTTCAAACTGGACACAACCTATCTCTGGGGATCACCTTTCAGCCTGCAAAGTGAACAAAGACATTCAAGAGGAATTTACTCCTCAGAACAATTAGTCATATGAGACCAAACTGGCAGCATATATCCCAAAACAAAGCACGTAAGGCAGGAAGGGGCAGGAAAGGGGGGGGTGTGTGGAATGGATATGGGAATCAAGGGAGAAAATGGGAAGAGTGTTGTTATACTGAGAAATTGCAACTGATGTTATGAAACAAAATGGTCATAAATTCTTGAATGCAAAACTAACTGGCTTTCACACAAACCACAGTAAATAAATTTTTAAAATATTGTTTACAAAGAGCTTATAACATGGGAAATGTTTTTGGTTACAATCATCAAGTGGAAAAAATAAGCATAAAACTGAAATGAGTCATTTTATCACAACAACCTAAAAGCAAGCCAAAAAAAAAAAAAAGCAAAAGACTAGTAAGGAAAGGAAGGTCCCAATTTTAAAAATTACTGGTGATCCTCAACCTCCATTTACTATAAATTCATGTATTATTATAATTAAGACACATTTACATGACAAATATCTTTATTATATATTTCTATGTATTGTATGCGCGCACACACAAATCACAAGTAGCAAGAAGTGGAGTTATTGTTGTTAAGTGCTGTCTAGTCATAGACGACTCGTAGCGATCCTAAGAACGAAAGACCTGAACACTTGTATAACTTTCTGCGTTTCTCCAAGTTCATAGGGTTTCTGGAGCAAGCTATTTCGGAAGTGGATGCCACTCCTGCTTCGAAGAAGTGGAGAAACAAACAAACAAATAAGAAACACCTTCATTTTCAAAATTACATTGCTCAGGTGAAGAGGTTCAGGATCAGCTGGGCCCCAGGTTCGCCCCACCCCATTGCCTAGAGATAGCCTGCGGGCTGAGCCAAGTTGGGTGGCGCCCCAGGGCCCTCATGCTGTGGCATTCCCCACCCCAAAACCACAGGGCACTCAGAAAGGAAGAAACAATCAAGCAGCCGTGCTTGTTCCAGACTGGAAAGGCCACCTCCAGTCTGGCAGGATCCCCACTGGCTGGTAACATTCCTCCCAAAGTTCCGACCACCACTAGGGTACTGAGAGGGTTAATTCAGTTCCTCAGGAATTCCCAGAAGGTACTCATGGGAGGAATTTCCCAGACAGGCAGGCAGACAGACAGACAGACAACTCAGACAACTCCCGCCACCGAACACAGATGTTTGCCTGGGGGTGGCGGTGCTGAAAGCCAACATAGGCACCCATCTTTGCGGTGAAAGCTCTCCGCTGGCAGAACAGAGGCGAGACCCGCCGGGGCAGGTTGGGAGTGGGAGTGGAAGAGGGGCGGGGCGGAGCTGGTCTGCAGGTCGAGTCCCTTCTGGTGTCTGTTTCAATCTCACAGAAATTGCAATTCTCTGAGTCCACTAGGCGTCGCAGCGGCTTTGGGAGGGATCCGGGCGGTTCGATCCGAGTGTGTGTTCTGGGTCAATTGCTTGGCCAGTAGTATTTAACAAATTTGTTGTGGCATCGTTTATTTACTCTACAGGTGGGGCGAGGGTCCCCAGAGGCAGGGATTTTTGTGGCAAGTTCGTCCTTACGTCGCTGAAGTTCACCTTAGTGTCGGGCCCCTAAGAGTGCTCCTTTGGGTCTGATGGACGATGCATGAATGCTCCAAAGGGGAAGGAATAAAAGAAATGGAATCAAGGCCTGGGGTGAGAAATGTGGAGGAGAGCGCCCTACCGGGGAAGGCGGGCCCCACGTCCCGTTCGTGCTCAGAATTCCTCCCACCCCACTCCACCCGGCTCTCTCCAGCCCTAAATGCAGGCAGGGCGGGAGCGGACACGGCCCCGCCGGGCCGGGCTGAGCGAGCCCCAACCTGCCTGGACTAAACCACGCAGTCCTGAGACCCCACTTGTTCCCTCCCATCTCTTGCTGTCGGAGAAACAGCGGAATCTTCCTAAAAGTCCGCTCCTCCGGGGGACAATCCTGATCCACCACAGACCAAAACCGATCTCCACATCTGCCCTCTTTAACCACTCACTATGTTTATTTCTTTTCAGACTAGCTACGTCCAGCAAAAGTTAAAAGTTCACCAAACAAAAAACTCACTTAACAGACATTTATTGATCATTAACACTATGTGTTTGGATACAGCCGTGACCAAAATAGACAAAAAGCCTTATTCTCTTAGAGGTTCTGTGGAATTTATAAACTGGGTTGGGGTACCGTGGTTAGAGCGCGTGGGCAGCCCACACCCAAGTGACCTCCCAGATGAGCTCAAGTGAGGTGCTGACCTGGGGCCGTTCGGTGGGTAGACTTCGGCCCCTGCGGGAGGGGGAGGGCTGCACCGCGCCTATCATAAACTTGGGGTTTAGCATGTCACCTGGGGCAGGTGCGCAAGGGGGTGGGGGAACCGTTTGCAAAACCAAACCCAAGCTGGCCTCGAGATTACGCGGCCGAGCACGTAGGCAGCGCGCTCCGTAAATGTTTTGTTACGCGCTGCGAGTCAGGCCTCCAGCAGCCAGCGCCCTGCGGGGGGTTGGGACCCGCCTGGCATGCCTCCACCCCAGGCTCCTCCACCGCGAGGTCAGCGCCGGACTCGCCGCGGCGTCCAGGCCCCGCGTAATTACAGGGGCTGTCGCCAGGCCTGGCAGTAAAAGAGGAGGATGAAACGGCCTGGGAACTGGGGAAGCTGGGCCCGAGTCGGCAGGGGGCCTCAGGTCCGCGCCCTCCCACCGTGCACAGCCGCCAGGGAGGGTCGGCCGGAGGTCCAGATACACAATACCAGTGACACGCTCGACAACAGCCACACTGTCGCATACAGAAACACCAGACACACGCAGACACAGCATGGCCCTCCAGCTCCAGGCACACACACGAGCCTAATCAAACACCTGCCCGCCCTCCCACTACAGAGCTGAGAGGCTGACACCAGCCGCCAACCCCTATCCAGACGGCAGCAGATCCTGGCGGGGAGAGGAGCCCCGAGAGACGAATTCCAACGGGTTTGTTTACACAGTGCGGGGGAGGGGGCCCTGCCTGGGTACTGGGGCTCGACTGATTGGGAGACACAGCCAAGAGTGGGCCAGACCCAGCAGCCAGCCTGAGGACGCGCACAAACCCCTCCAACACACACGGCACACACGCTGCGCACCCCGTACACATTCCCCCTCCTCTTCACACGCCATTCACAAACATTAGCATACGTATGTCAAAGAGTTTCACATGCTTCCCCACTCGTGGCTGTGATCTTACTCACAAATGCTTTCACACTTGCGCGCCATCACACGTATTTACACACACCAGATGCCCATGTGTGGTTACAGTTCATCACCCTTCCTTGCCCAGATTCTCACAGTCCATATTCAAGAGCACAGTATATATGCACGTTTTCTCTCTCTCTCTCTCTCTCTCTCTCTCTCTCTCTTTCTCTCTCCCTGAACCCCCTCACGGAGGATCCGGGCCATGCGCACATGCACTAATGGACAGAGGCACCCTTAGCCTCGGCCACACACGCTACACACTTGATCACACACAGGGTCGCACTTTATTCCCAGCATCTAGGCGATGACACAATCTCCGGAACAAAGGCAACATTGACAAACCCAACAAAAACAAACAGCCGCGTGTGTGTGGGGAGGACCAGTGGAGCGCACAGCCCGGGAACCCTGCGGGGGGATGGGGGGACTGAAAGAAAGTGTGGGAACGCTGGCGCGGGGTCCTCCTGGGCGTGCAAGACCCAGGAAAGGTGCTGTAGGACAGACCCACAGCCTTGCACTTTGCATTGCGCGGGGCAAGCAAAGCGCTGTCCTGCACCCAAGCGTTCGTGAGAGCTCCTTCTCTCCCTCCGCCCCCCCCC